ACCTGGCAACGTTTTGTTCCACTGTGGATGGGGTCACCATGAGTTGGGGGCCAACTCGACGGCAGGTAACAACAACACACAGATACCTGCACTCGCCAGAGCAGAGTAAAATGGAAGCCAGACTTACTGCTGTTTCCAACCCTAGCCTCCCACCCCCCATTCCTAGACCTAAAGGGTAGAAGATGGAGCTGCTACCCTGAGAGAGCAAGGGTTCAGCTCTCACCAGTGCAGGCAGCAGATGGTGCCCCCTGGTGGTGGCAGTGAGGAGGGGCAGCGGGTGGGAACACTGAGCAGCTTTGGGTTGGCCGGTTAGGTTGGCCGGGTGAGCGGCACAACAGTGGCGGTGAAGCTGTGAGCAGGTTCCATTGAGTCAGGCTGACTAGGCAGAGTGCTGGAGCGCGTCTCCCTTCCTGGGGCTTTCCGGGTGTCCTGATGCCTCCCGTCCAGGTCAGCCAGCTGCTCATCAGAGGTGTATACACACCAGTGACGCAGCCACGCTCATAATTCAAACCTGGCATTTGCACCTAAATTCCAACTCCTGCACATAACATGCTGGCATCATCCTGTTTACAATGTAGGGCCTAGGATTTGGGCTCAATTGGAGGTCAGCCTGGAAACCACAGGAGGCAGCCTCATTATGTGACAGTGTTCGCTTACAGGGACCAGGCCCCACATGCGGGATTCCCTGGAGACTGCCATCCACTGAGCCCCTCAAGGCCCATCCGTATGAGAAGTCAGACAATGACCACTTATAATACAAGACAGGGAGCGCTCGTAGCTGGGAGCACAGGGGATGGGAGCACAGGGGAAGGGTGATAATTCTGCTTGGGAAGCTGGGGAAGGCCTGACATCAGGTTTGTAAAACATCAGCACACCCCAGGTATTCGCCACATCCCTGCTGGAGCCTCTTGAATAGGAATCACAAGAGTGTGTTGACTCTGAGCATAAATACAGAAAGAGCTGACAAACTGAATCTCTGATGGTCTTTCTACGTTACCTGCAATGTCTTCCTTAAATCCTAAGAGGTACCCTTCCTAGACAGGGATGGGGGAGTGGAGAAGCTGGGAGCCGGGATGCCTGTGTTCTATTTCCAGATCCTATTACTGACTCATGATGTGACCTTGCTGAGGTCATGGCTATGTTCTTCTCGCTGGTACAAAGTAAGAGGAAGCTAAGCCTGCATTTGCTCAAGAGAAGGGAGTCTTGGAATATGGGAGGGCCTCCCTGCTCCTCACAAGCCCCAGACATAGCTGGCCCTGCTGGTATTAACGGGGCAATGCTTAGATTTGGATCCCAGGGCTTTGGGGGACATTCAAAGCAAGAAGCTGGTAGTTCTGAGAGTTCTAGGGGGTCGGCTTCTGACCACTGCAGGCAGTAGCTGGTGCCCCCTGGTGGTGGCGGCGAGGAGGGGCAGCAGGTGGAAACAAACTGAGCGAGACTTCTGGCCTCTTGTATATTCGGTGTTTCTCTGGACACTTTTCAAATCATGTTTCCATACTTTTCTCCAAGTGGCTCTAACATCATCTGTGTTGGGGGGAGGGGAGAGGAGGGAAGGTACTTTCTCCCTAGTTTAAAGATGAGAAAATCAAAGTCAAGAGTAGAATTTCTCAGCATTTTCATTACCAAGGGCCCCTTTTTATTATTTTACTATCATGCACCTCCCTGTTTTGCAAGCTTCTGCCGGCCCAACGCTCTGCAGTCAGTCATAAAGTAGAAATTCATCTCTGTTTTCATACATCAAAGTCGCAGGTGAGCATCAGGTCAAGTTTCTGTTCAGCACAAAAGAACTCCTGCTACCACTGAGCTCACTGCCAAGAATTCCAGCACTTCCTCTGGGTGACCTCATCACAGGTAAAAGCCCAGTTTTTACCAGACTTTGGAGATTTTGAACACAGTTCAACTTGAAGGGGCCCCGGGGGCGTAGGATGGGACACGCTTACCCAGAAGGTCAAGTGGCCTATGAAAGGTTCTATGGCAAGTGGCTGGGGCCGGACGGCAGCGGGGAGGGGGCACCAGGACCAGACTCCAGGGTCCTGACTCCTAGGCTAGTGCTCCAGCCAACCAGACCCCTTGGCAGGAAGGGCTCATGCACACATAGACACACGCGCGCGCGCACACACACACACACACACACACACACGCAAGACGGCAGCCCCACCAAATGTGGAGTATGCCAAGGGCTCAAACCAGGAATAGGTTCCCTTCAGTAGTGGAGTGGGCAGCCAGAACCAAGCCGGAGTCTATGTTTGGAAACAGAGAGGATGTAACAGGTGGTTTCAGGGTGTTCTGGAGAGTTGCAAGGGAGATTGTTGTTCGTTGCCGAGTTGGCTCAGACTTATGGTGACCTTGTATATAACCGAATGAAACGTGCCCGGTCCTGCACCATTTTCATGATCTTTGATATGTTTGAGCCTATTTTATTTTTCACGCAAATGCTTTTTATTTTTTATTTTATTGTATTTTAGATGAAGGTTTACAGAGCAAATTAGTTTCTCATTAAAAAATTAATACACATATTGTTTTGTGACATTGGTTGCCAACCCCACATGTCCACTCTCGCCCCTTCTCGACCTTGGGTTCCCCATTACCAGCTTTCCTGACCCCTCCTGCCTTCTAGTCCTTGCCCCTGGGCTGGTGTGCCCCTTTTAGACTCATTTTGTTTTACGGGTTTGTCTAATCTTCGGCTGAAGGGTGAACCTCAGGCGTGACCGAGTTAAAACGGTGCCCGGGGTGTTTGGGACCATTTGAGGCTATCGTGTCCATCCATCTCGTTGAGGGTTTCCCTCGTTTTTGTTAGCCCTCTACTTTATCAAGAAGTCCCTGGGTGATGCAAATGGTTAAGCACTCAACTACTGGCAGAAAGTCTGGCGGTTCAAACCCACCCAGAGATGTCTCGGAAAAAAGGCCTGGCAATCTGCTTCCGAAAGGTCCCAGACTTGAAAACCCTATGGAGCACACTTCTACTCTGCACATTCACGGGGTCACTGTAAGTTGGCATTGACTCCATGGCAACTAACAAACAACAATAACTGCTTCACCAAACATGATGTCCTTTTGTAGTGATTGGTCTTTCCTGATGATGTGTCCAAAGTAGGCAAGACGGGGCTCGCCATCCTTGCTTCTGAGGAGCATTACGGTTGGAGACTTGTTTATTCTGCCACCTGCCTGCACATTGGCGGACTCTTCAAGAAAGCATCCTTTCTGCAGGCTGGCACTTTCACCCACTCAGAGAGCATTCAGGTTATTCACCCCTCCCCCCGCCTGGCACCTGCCTTTTCAAGAGGATGAGACCAGAGGGAGGCCAGAGCCAGTGATGATGAAGTCAAACTGGGAGCCTAGGGAGAGCAGGGACACAGACAGGGGACTCGGAGGTCTGGCTTGGTGGCCTGGGGTCAGCAGAGAAAGAGCTGCAGGACCCCAAGCTCCTCAGAGCTTCCCCTGCGTCTCTGTCCTGACCAGAGGCTCCTGGAAACATTCGACCTCTGTTGAGCTCTTGGCTCGGTCCCAGGGGCTCAGTTTTTCATCCCACGGCTCAGAAGCATCGGAAGGCATCAAGACTGCGTGTACCTTTGGAAAAAGGCCGAGGGCTTAGCTTTGTGGCTTCAGAGTCCACCAATCCTCATCAGAGATGGGGTCAGGGCAGGGTCCCTGGGGGCCTGTTGCCCAACAGCTGTTCCCTGGGTTATTTTGGTACAGTGAGAGCTTATCAATTCCAGGGTATTTGGACCAAAATAGCCAACAGCAGCAACAATCTCTTGGTGGCTCTGTTGGGACCCCACCATAAAGAACCTTCTAAAAGGAGATGGGGTGAAGGGAAAGGAGTTTGGCTTGGGGGCATGGCAAAGAGGAAACCTCCTGCCAGGGCCTGAGGCTGAACTCCCAACTCCTTGCTGTTCTTTCAGCCTTGGGAACTCACTGACCACCTATCTTGGGGACCAATGCTGAGGATTTGGTGGGGGAGGGAGTGGATATTTTTTAATATGGTTTCTTGACTCAGCGATCCTCCCCCAGAGCTGGTGAGATACAGCTTTCCCTTTCCCACCTTACAGATGCAGCTAAGAGGTCCAGAGATGCCGAGGTACTGGTCAGAAGCCACTCAGCTCTCAAGAAGGTTGGCTACTGCTGGCTGGTGCCCGGACCTCCTACTTCCTCCCAGCTCCCAGGCCACAGTGCCTCTGAGTTCACCCCAGTCAGATCTGCGCTCACCCTGTGGATGCCAGTTCTGCCGAGAAGCTCCCGGTCAGCATGGAAAGTGCTGACTTGCCCCGGCCCACTGAGGGGGCCTGGCAGCGCCAGTCTCGATGACCCCTTCTGCCTCACTGAGACGGGTCAAGTGCAAGTGGAGGAAGAAGGGTGGAAGACCAGTCACTCTCTCCCCCACCCCCCACCCTAACTTCGGGCCAGCAGCTCCTGGTGCGCAGAGCCAGAGTGACCCAGGTCCCGCTCCCTCCAGCAGTGAGGTGGCGTGCGGGGAGCGCGCTTCGGCGCCAGGCAGGCGTGGGGTGCAGGGCGCACGCCCCTGACGCGCCGTACGGAAACCTCTCGGTGGCTCAGTAACTTCACTTAGTCGTCGAGTGTCGCTGGCCAAGCCCGCGCGACAGGTCTTATTTTCTGGGCTCGGAAATAAACTGCCCGGGTGGGGCTGCGCTTGGCAACAGCTCCTCGGCCACCCGGATCGCTCCCGCCTGTCCCCCGGGATTTCCTAGCTGGTGAATTGTCTGTCCGGGTAAATCCCTTCGCGAGTCCTTCGTCCCTCCCTCTGGCTCTGCCCTACCATCCCTGCCTCCCGGGTCCCCAAGCCCGTCCGCGCCGCGCCGGGTCGCCCCCCCGCGCCCGGGTGCACCCGTCCCCGCCAGGCCGCTCTCCTGCTCCAGGCGTTCGCAGCCGGCTGGCCGCGCCGCCCGGTGCAGGGCTCTCCCCGAGAGTAGCCCCCGCGCCCGCCGGGTTCGCCGCGTCCCTCCGCCATGCGCCCCTTGGCCTTGGGCCCGCACCACTTGGCTATGCGCCCCTCGGCCTTGCGCCCCCGCGCCTCAGCCGCCGCGCTCGCGCTCTGCAGTCTCCTGCTGCTGCCCGGGCTCGGGCACGCATGTCCCGCGGGCTGCGCCTGCACGGACCCGCACACAGTGGACTGCCGCGACCGCGGGCTGCCTAGCGTGCCCGACCCTTTCCCTCTGGACGTGCGCAAGTTGCTGGTGGCCGGCAACCGCATCCAGGAGATCCCCGAGGACTTCTTCATCTTCTACGGCGACCTGGTCTACCTGGACTTCAGGAACAACTCACTGCGCTCAGTGGAGGAGGGCACCTTCAGCGGCTCCGCCAAGCTGGCCTTCCTTGACCTCAGCTACAACAACTTGACCCAGCTGGGCGCGGGTGCCTTCCGCTCGGCCGGCAGGCTGGTCAAGCTGAGCCTGGCCAACAACCACCTGGCCGGCGTGCACGAGGCCGCCTTCGAGTCCCTGGAGTCGCTGCAGGTGCTGGAGCTCAATGACAACAACCTACGGAGCCTCAGCGTGGCCGCCTTGGCCGCGCTGCCCGCGCTCCGCACCCTGCGCCTGGACGGGAACCCGTGGCTTTGCGACTGTGACTTCGCCCAGCTCTTCTCCTGGATCCAGGAGAACGCCTCCAAACTGCCCAAAGGTGAGCCGGGCTGGCAGGGGAGAGCAGGCAGGGAGCGGCGAGAGGCCACCACAGCTCCGGTCTGGGTATGAGGAGCCGGGAACAAGCCCCAGGTGAGGGATCTGGATGGAGGGATCTTTGCTGGCTTTGACAGGGCAGGGGTTTGGTGCTGAGCAGTTGCACTGATTGAGTCTCCAGGTAGAGCCCTCCCAGATTCTCAGCCTGAACTTTTCTAGGTCTCTGTGGGGTGGAAGGGACACACCAGGGATTCTTTGGAGTTTCTGGACCCTGATGCTGAGTTTCTCCCTGTTCCTCCAAAAACTCACTTTTGGAAGTTAGGCACCCGCCAGCTCTCTGTTCCCCATCCAAGAAAATCACCTCACTGGTCCTAGGACTAGGGGAGTGCAGGTTACTTATGTAAGGCACCCAGGGTGTGGGAAGCAGCTAAGCATCATCCTCATTACACTGAACTCAGAGAGCACAGCCTCTGGAGCCTGAACTGGTGTCTTAGCTTCTCAGCTCCTGATGATTCTTCTGTCTAAAGGGGGTGAGGAATCTTCTTGGTGAGGAATAATGACAGCCACCAAGAGCCAGTGGTGCAGCAAAGATTTATAGTTCTGTTGCTTTTCAACCCAGGTGTGAAATAGCTGCATACAAATGTTACGGCTGGTGCACCCTTTCCTTCTTTCCATTCAGTGCAGAAGGGACAGAAATGGTGATATTGACATGCATAGTCACTTGGCGGACAGGAATACAAGGGCACAGGGAGTTAATGGGCCCTTGTGAAGACCTGGTGCCATAGTGGGTAAGTGCTACACTGCTAATCAAAAGGTCAGCGGTTTGAATCCATCAGCCGCTCCTTGGAAACCCTATGGGGCAGTTCTACTCTGTCCTGTAGGGTCACTATTGGTCAGAATCGACTTGAAAGCAACGGATTTTTTTGGGGGGGGGTTTGTGAAGTCCAGAAAAAGAAAGCAAGGCAGAGCTGAGAAGGAAGGGACCTGAGAATCTACATGGGTGAGAGCCAGGGCTGGGAGCAGGAGGAACATCCTATATCTTTTTTTCCATTTACTAAGACATTTCCCATTTGCTCACCTAGGTCCTGAATTTACTTATTCATTCAATATGATTACTAAGCACTTACCCCATGCTTCAGGGCAATCATTCCTCCGAACACCCAGGCCCCTGAGCTGGTACTTTCAGCCTGGGCTGCCTCTATTACATGGACAGTTCCCCAAAAGATCTGGCCCTTAATGTGCAGAGAGAGCCCCAACTCCAAACTTCATCTTCATTCACGTGCCCAGCTCCCCAGACTCTCCCCAGCAGGAGACTCTGACACAGGAGATAGAAGTGTTGGGATTAAGGCCTCATTGAGGAATGAGGTATGCCTGGATTCTGATGGACTTCTTTATTTTTTGGTGGAATTGGCTGACATCATTAGCCCCTTATTGTTCATTGTGTTGGTATAATTGGCTCCCATTGTCTTCCAGCTGGGGGCAAGGTGTTGGGGAGTCAGAAGCTGTGGGTGTCAGTCTCAATTCTGCCATGAATGGCTGTGACCTTGAGCAGGCCACTCCCCCTGGCTGGGCCTCAGTTTCCTCATCTGTAAGGAGCTTTATTTGACCTCTGAGATATCTTGAGCCCTGGATTTGGAGTCTGAAGGTATGAGTTTGAGTCCTGGCTGGGTGAACCTGGGTATGCCAGTTACCTTTTTGAGCTTCATTTTCCTCCTTTGTGAAATTGGGACACGGGTACTCCTGCGTAGTTCATCCGACCAGGTGGTTGTCAGGATCAAGATGTGGTGTGGGTGAAAGTAAAACCAGTAGCCGTTGAGTCAGTTCCAACTCATGGAGACCCCACATGTGCAGAGTAGAACCGTTCCATAGAGTTTTCAAGGCTGTGACTTTTCAGAAGCAGATCTCCAGGCCTGTCTTCCAAGGTGCCTCTGGGTGGGTTTGAACCATCAACCTTTAGATTTGTAGTCAAGCACTTAACCATTTGTGCCACCCAGGGACTCCTAGGTAAAAGTAAAGCACAGTACAAATGTGAAGCATTATTCTTCCTACTCTCTGGAATAGAGGGAAGAAAAGGGACATCAGAGCGGTTGTGTGGCTCAGAAGGATGGACAGGTTCAGAGCATTGAACAGTGGCAGGGCCATGGCCCTGGGTGGCGCTGTTGGAGGGCTGGTCTCACTCAATTGGGAGAGGATCAAGATCACTGAGGGACAGCATAAAGGTTTCCAGCACCTTATGGGTTGGGGCTCTGAAAAGCAACTCTGACCTCACTGCCCACTGCCCATGTTCTGTGGCCAGAGAGGTGTCCCGCAAAATGTCACCAGACACAGTGTGGGTGGTAGGGTAACCAGCACAGGCCTTGAAATGAGAGATTGTGTTCAGATTTGGACTCAGGTTTATGATGCTGGCAAGTCCCACAACCCCTCGGATCCTCAGTTTCCCTGCCTCCAAATTCAGGTCCCTGGTGGTGCCAATGGTTTGCAACCTAAACGTTGACAGTTTGAACTCACCCAGTAGTACTGCAGAAGAAAAGGCATGACAGTCTGCTTCCATTTAGAGTGCAGCCAAGGAAACCCTGTGGAGCAGTTCTACTCTGTCACCCATGGGGTTGCTATGAGTCAGAATTGACTCGATGGCAATAAACAATAGCAAGGCAGTGTCCTACACCATAGGTTTGACGTGAGGCTTAAAACCAAACCAAAACCAAACCCATTGCCATTGAGTCCATTTCGATTCATAGTCACCCTATAGCACAGAGTAGAACTGCCTGATAGGGTTTCCAAGACTAGAATCTTTTTGGAAGCGGACTGCCACATCTTTCTCTCGTGGAGCGGCTAGTGGGTTCGAACAGTCAACCTTTTGGTTAGCAGCCAGGCACTTAACCAACGCAACATGAGGGCTCCTGCCGTGAGGTTTAAATGAGATAAACTATGTAAGGGACACCGCTGTGTGCCAAGCACAGAGATGTTGTTGTTAGGTGATGGCCATTCGAATTCAACTCATAGTGAACCCGTGTGACAGAGGAGAACTGCCCTCTAGGGTTTTCTAGGCTGTAATCTTTACCAGAGCAGATCGCCAGGTATTTCTTCTATGGAGCTGCGGGGTGGTTCAAACCACCAACCTTTCAGTTAGCAGCCAAGCGCTTAACCATTGTGCCTCCAGGGCTCCTGAGCACAGAGTAGGTGCTCTAAAGACGTTCATTGCCACCTTCCCTCCTCCTGAATTTGTGCTTCTTCTTGTACTTCCCCAGAGGCAGCCAGGCAAAGTGGTTTAGGACCCAGCTCTGGTACCAAGCTGCTTGGCTTCAAATCCAGCCTCTCTTCTTACTAGCCGTGTGACCTGTTTGTACCCCATTTTTCTAATCTATGAAACGGGGATGCTAACAGTACCCACCTTGTAAGTTTGTTGGTAGGATTAAAAAGGTGTTATTTATAAAGAGTCCCTGGGTGGTGCAAACAGGTAATATACTCAGCGAACCACAAGGTTAGTGGTTCGAGTCCACCCAGAGGTGCCTCAGACGAAAGGCTTGGTGATCTTCTTCTGAACAGTCACCCATTAAAAACCTTATGGAGCACAGTTCTCCTCTGACACACTTGAGGTCACCATGAGTTGGAATGACTCAATGATACCTTTATTTATAAAGTACTTAGAACAGTGCCTGGCACACAGTAACTATGATATCAAACCCATTGTCATCAAGTAGATTCTGACTCATGACGCCCTCATGTGTTACAGAGTAGAACTGGGCTCCACAGGGCTTTCTTGGCTGTGATCTTTACAAAAGCAGATTGCCAGGTCTTTCCTCCATGGTGCCGCTAGGTGGGCTCAAAACACCAACCCTTAGATTAGTAGTCAAATGCAAACCATTTACACGATCCAGGGACCTTTTAACCACTATAAAAGTGTTAGTTATTATTATTATTATTACTCTGCTTTAACTAGGAAAGGAGCCCTGATAGTGCAGTGGTTAAAGTGCTCGGCTGCTAACTGCAAGGTTGGTAGTTCACACCCACCAGCTGCTCCACAGGAGAAAGATGTGGCAGTCTGCTTCCATAAAGATTACAGCCTTGGGAACCCTGTGGGGCAGTTCTGCTCTGTCCTACCGGGTCGCTATGGGTCAGAATTGACTCGACAGCAGTGGGTTTGGTTTTGGGTTAACTAGGAAACCCAGAGTGAGTGGTGATGTGACTTGCCCAAGGTCACACCAAGATATAAGACAGAGGTGGTGGTTGCACCAGGACCTCCTGGATCCCAGCCCCTCCCACACTGACCACCCACTTCCTGCCAGAGAAGATTGGGCTTCATCGGGGCACATGTTCTAGGGCTTTCTAGGCAAGTGCTCTGCCTCCAACAGGGGAGAGAATTCAAAGGAAGGAGCATACGAGATCCTGTCCTCACGCCTTGCCCGCACCTCCCTGCCCCCTCCTCCCCCAGAGAAGCAGAAGGAGCCGCGCTCTCTCCTTGTGACCTTGACTCGCTCTAATGGTTACGAAAATGTGTTTGTCTGTCTGGTGTGCCTTCCAGGTGGCCGCAGCACTGATGGGCAGGGAAGAAAATCCCGTCAAGGCTACTCAGGGCCGAGGGGCCTGGGTCTGAGGACTTAGGAGGAACTGCCCCACTGCTGATGTGTCGAGGGAAGAGGGCAAGGGAATGCCCGGGTGTCCAATAGCTGATTTGGGAACAAACAAACAAACGACAACAAAAAGCCAAACCAACCAACCCAGGATGCCTAATTAATGTTGCATTTCAGAGAAATAACAAATAATATTTCAATATAAGGAGCGCTAGTGACTCAACACATAAGCGCTTGGCTGCTAACCCGAAGGTTGGCGGTTTGAACCTGCCCAGCAACTCCGAGGGAGAAAGACCTGGCCATCTGCGGCTGTAAAGATTATAGCCTAGGAAACCCTAGGGGACAGTTCTCCTCTGTCACATGGGGTTGCTATGAGTTGGAATTGACTTGACAGCACTCAACAACAACAAATATATCCCATACTTTGTTGTTA